AGCTTAGCTCTCTATCGAATACAATCTTGTTACCTTGGCCTGTCCGATTGTGCTCCCGAGCTTAAGACTACCCTCCGGGGTTGCGCCCCTTACACCAGCCCCGTGTAACAGTTAGGTAGAGGTTAGGGTCTTATATAATCGCTACCCTACTCTACCCCTACCTAACCTCTACCTAAATACTAGTCTAGTATCTACGCGTAGTACTATATATTACTAGTTTTAATAGATTTTAAAATCTTACCCTTATAAACAATAGTCAGAAAAGTAAGAGCTTAGTAAGCGATGATAGAACTAGGTTGATTAATTGTTTCTCTTGTTGAGAATCAGGGTTAGAATAAAATAGTAACACGTGACGAGCGGGTCGCGAGGCCTCCTCTCTTGGCGTGGCGAAAGATTCTGAATCGCAACTCATTTATACATTATTTACGCGCGATAGCTCTTGAATAAGCAGAATGCTTATGAAAAGGCAGCACTGCGTAGATAAAAATTGGATATACGAGACTTCATGGCCTGATGTTGGGATATAAACGGGGCTTCAATGGCCTGATGCTAGATATAAATGGGGCTCGGATGGCCTTAACGAGGCTGAGGGCATATTGGTCGCACAATGATACCTAGTGTAGTAATGGAAATAATTATAGCCTTCTCTTGACTACTGTATGGTATGATCAGGCTATTGAAGATATAGTATAAAAGACCTTGCAAGCAGTCGTTATACTGCAATTCAATAAACCCGAAATCATCGCATCCACCATCATGCTGTTTAATCTGTCTTTTACTTCGTTGCTCGTCGGCCTGTTTGCCATCCAAACCGCCTTTGCAGCGGTGGTCCAACCCCTCGAAGTGCGCGAGACCAGCAACTGCCCTAAACGCCGGTTCAGCATACAGGCGTCGAGCGGCGTTAACTCCCTGACCGGCTCCATGAGCTATTCCGTCATGTTAGTCGACGAAAAAGACAAACCACATCCCGAATTCACAAGTTGTATCTTCCCTGGTACAAAGTTTCAATTTGGTGCTGTTAGTAACCTCTCTCTTTTCTTTTCTACCTTGTTACTTTGCTTTGCTAACATCGCCAGGGTTGTAAATGGTTCGTACCCGGTAGTACGGCGCGCATCACCAAGGACGGATATTGGTGGGAAGTCAAACACGACGGATTTTTTGCTGGGGCACTGTATAAGGGTGATGTTCATGTTCGCGGAAATGGCTGCACGAATACGCAAAAGTGTAAATCGTCGAGAACACAGCAGTGTGAGCCTAGTCCGGATGGGAAACAGCCTAACTGCGTTCTGACTACGTATGTGGATTGTAAGCAGTGATTCTGAGGAAGAGAGGAAGGCAGCTAAGCTAGGGAGTTGTTTGAGATGTTTGTCAGGGTTTAGATGGAGAGGTGGGGTGAAGGTCGAGGTTGGAGTGTTAGCTTAGCGGAATGTGTCTAGATATTCTTGTGTCTCTAGATATCTTTTGAGAAACAAGAGAAGCAAGGAGCAACAGCCTGTTTCCACTACACTTTTAGTCTGTATCTCAAGCTTTGGTCTGTTCGTTAGCGTGACGTACAAGTTAAGCACCATCGCTAACGTAAAACACCAGTAGGATGTTGACCTAACACAGTATGAGTATGAATTTCTTGCACATTATCAAATTCTAAAAAAGAACCGAAATGACATAACCTGGTTCATTACTTAAACAACATACAAAGACTATTGCACGCGTGATGTTCATGACTTAGCCACAATCTTGTTTCGCAATACTTAGTGGCTCCTACTTGAATTATTCTACAAATCGGCTAACGCCTCACAGCCATCCCATGTTTACGCTCCGCCATCTCAACGTTCGTGCTATAGTTGGCGGGCGCGCCCGCAACAAAACACGCCGCTTGGCGTGTGGTTGAATACTACTCCAGTGTCCAATGAGTTACCCCAAGACTTCCTAGGATAAGCCGGCTACTGGCCGGAGCGTGAACGTGGGAGAAAAGCTTAATGCTTACTGGGAAAAATTTAATCTTATTGGTACAGAGTAAGGTTTGATGATTTGCTGATAGTACTACTGCTGTTGTGCACGCATATACGCTCATAATTGTGTGCGTAAGAAAGGCTGTGCTTTGCCATGTTTAGTACTGCCGCTGTACCTGTCTTGAAGCATCGCATCGCAAGCCGCCACAGCCTGAAAATGAGGGCCAAAAGCAAAGCCCTGGTGGAGCCAGGAGTTAACTAAGCTAAGAAAAAACGTATCGCATTGCCAAAGGA